GAGTAGAAAGTACAGATAATTGTGTAAAAATGTAATGAGTAAAAGTAAAAAGTACGCAGAAAAATAATTACTCAAATAAAGTACAGATAACCAAATTTTCTACTTAAGTACAGTAACAAAGTATTTGTACTTAGTTACTTTACAACTCTGGAAAATGCAGATAAATTTACATTGTTGTCATAAAATATAGTCTTGTAGAGTAAATTTTAATTTAATTTAATTTTTAAATTGTTTTATTACAGTTCATTCTGTCACATTTTGATGTTTCTGCTTCTAAAATCAGAAACATGAGATTCTTTAAAGAAGTAAAAGTTCAAACTTGTTTTATTCTTTTAAACTTGTTTTTACATTTATTCCTCATTAAACTGTTAATTTCTTCTCTTGATTTGTTTTTATAAATTTATTTATTTCTTCTACCTTCAGAGGCACAGATTCATCCTGTCTGGACCTGGTCCTGGTCTCAGACCTGGACCTGCTCCTGGTCTCAGACCTGGACCTCCTGCTCCATCACTGGGCTCTGATCAGGTTTTTAATCTGAGCTGCAGATTAAATCAGAAAAGAAGAAGAACCGGGTCAGTCAGATTGTGCTCCCCCTGGACTCTGAGACCCTCAGTCTGTCTGTGTGTTGAAACTGAAACAGTGCCGATCAATCTGCAGACACAGATTATCACAGATTATCACAGATTATCACAGATTATCACAGATTATCTCAGATTATCAGGTAACTCTGTTCACCTACAATCTGATGTATAAAGAGGTTTTAAATGTTTTTGATAAATAAAGAATTCGTTTTATTYAACTATAAAAGCCCCCGGCTGCTTGAGGAAGTCTTTTATTTTGGCGGGACAAGCGGCTCAGACAAGCTGACTGAAAGTGACCCGGTTCTGTTGGATCTCTGCTGACCCGTCTGGTCTGAGACTTTGGCCCCGGGGCCTCAGACTCCTGCTGCTGTAACTTCCTGTCAGAACCGAGCCTGGGCCCAGATTTACATGTAAACAGAACCACGTTGTTATCTCATCAAACCTGCGAGTCTGGTCTGAGCCGGGCCTCTTCACCAGACTCTGTGGAGCCGGGTCGGGCCCTGCTGGGTCCAGTGGTGGRCCATGATGTGCTGTCAGCTGGTCTCTGACTGTGGACTTTATTTTATCACCTTTCAGCTCTTTTTACTCTTTAAGCTTTAATATTTGTCTTTTAGTTTATGGTTTTTTTTTCAGCTCTATGGTTTGAAATGAGATTCTGTTTTTTTAATTGTCATGTTTGTATCATCATCATCATCATCATCATCATCATCATCATCATCATCATCATCATCATCAT